AGCCAAGATTGATATCATATATTTTCGACTAGAATGTGAAGGGTCTAAAGTTATCCAAATTCATCATATAATATATCAAATTAAATCCCTATTTATATAGTTTTCAATGCTGAAACCCGTTATCAATTGGAATTTTATTGAGCAAGTTATGACCAATTTACTACTGACTGTTCAGTGTAATATGTGTTATTAATACTAAAAAATATCAAACACAAATTACATTAAGCTAGATGTAACCAAAAATCCTACTCATCAATATATCCCACATCATCACCATCACATGTAGCCAAATGTACATATCCCACATCATCACCAATCACATGCAACCACATGTCGGACAATCATCGAACATGTCAGAATGAAGCAACTCTAGAGCTTGAAAAATCCTACATGGCAATCAAATAGGGTATTTCTCAGGATTTTATCACATCACATAAATATATATAGATATTTAATGTGAATGTGAATGTGAAGGGTTTGTATTTGTGAATGTGAAGGGATTAAACACATCCACAAAACATCAATCTATATATCTTCTTATTTGAAGTAGACCTAATTAGGATGCCACTATTTGATATTATATCTTTTCAACCAGAATGTGAAGGGTCTAAAGTTATCCAAATTCAGCCTATAATATATCAAATTAAAGCCCTATCTATCTAGTTTACAATATTTCAATCCGTTCATCAATTGGACTTTTATTGAGCAAGTTATGTCTAATTTACTACTGACTGTTTAGTGGAAACTGAGATTGATATCATATCTTTTTTACCAGAATGTGAAGGGCCTATAGTTATCAAAATTCAGTATATAATATATCAAATTAAAGCGCTGTCTATCTAGTTTCCAATGCTAAAAATCGTTTATCAATTGAATTTCTATTAGGCAAGTCATGACCAATTTATTACTGACTGTTTAGTGTAATATGTGTCATTAATAGTAAAAAATATCAAACAGTAATTACATTAAGCCACATGTGTAAGTAAATCGATGGGTAAATGTAGCAGAAAACAAAAATATTTCCCATCGATTACTCTGAATAACCCAAGATTAGGGTCTGATATGTATATATTTTACATGCTTATTGAAATTTCATGGAAAATTTTATTATTTGATTAAATCATAAGGGGTCGAGAAAACCCCAGTTATATAATATCAATCAAAGATGATCAATATATATATACCGAGGTAATGTCATCTTATATTACTTGATTACCACATTTGATTGTCAAGTAATATAAGATTCCAATAATCTTCCAATGCCAATAATAGTTACTGTTGGTAATTGTTGATATTTTTGTCAAACTTATGTTATGGTGGATAATGAATTGTTGAGCAAATATGTGCACACATCGTTCTTCTGTGCAACCATCTGCTGTTTTACACATTTTTCCAAGTGGCATTTTCTCTTTATTGACTTGCCCGTCAAGCTAATTTTAACTCATGGTATATTTGTGTGAGCTAACTTTATAGGTGTCACAATTTCCTTATGTGGTTCTAACAGATTGTAAGCCTTTGTCTGTGGTCCTGTAAGAAAGAGGAATTATATGTTTGTAGACCAACAAAAAGTTGGAATTCTTTTTGTCCTCCACATGTACAACTATGTCAGGCTTATGCCTTTTGCATTTTCATTTCATGTATTCATAGTGGATGTGTGCTTGCACACTTATGTTAGACATATGCATGTTGCATTTTTATTTCGCGTTTTACTTCGTGTGTTCGCACACTTTTCTGTTGTGCTAACATCACATGTTTGACTCATTTTTCACAAGTTGCATTTTTATCTTTATCAGCTGAGATATTTTTTGTCCATCTGTTGTGTTGTCATGAGGACCACCTATAGATGTCCTAATATCCTCTTTTGGTCTAGGGAAATAAACTTTTTCCCTTTTTGGTTGTGGTCCCAAAAGATTGGTGGAATCTTTTCAATTTTTGGACTAACATATGTTAGCCCTTGCTTGCTGACTTGGCAAGAATTAGGGAGCACGAAATTGGCCTATATCATCTTCATTCTTGCTCGTTTGAAAAGCTAACCTTTTGATATTTTAGTTGCTTGTGCTTTGAAATTTTCAGAGAGTTTTCATTCCTCAAAGGTTCACCTTATGTTATTGTGTCAAACCTTCATCATATCTTATATTTGTTGAATGGCGATTGGAACTTTTTTCCATTGTTGATGTTGGAGCATGGCTTTTGCCTGTGAGGCTAGGGTCGAGCTCAAGTGTTCTTTGAGCATGTTTCCGATGTGAAGAGGTCCTTGGAGCAACAAGACATTAGAGATTTAGATGGTGGTGTTTAGTGTAATTACTAGAACAGGGAGTTCTCTTTGCTATAGCTAAAATCAAGTTTGAGCTATATCTTGTAATGTTTGTTGTTTAGTGGATTTGCTTCGATCTAGACAAGGTCCCATGGATTTAGGATAAGAATGGTTTTAGCCGAACCATGTATATGCTGGTGTGCTTTACATTTATTGTTTATGGATGATTGATTAATGTTTAACTTGCTAACCATTAATCAATTTGGTAAAAACTTTCGCTGCCCTTTAAAAATGGGTACCTAAACATTATCTGGAGTTCACCAACTTTAACAAGTGTATCAAAGCTTATTCTAATAAGTTCTTTCAGTTGATCCTCACCAATTTTGTTTGCTTTCACCATCTGATTGGCTTTGTGTTTGGTCAAAATCTGGTCTGTTGACATGTTATGTTTTTTGTCTACTGCTTGTTTGTGTGTGCACATCAGTTTGTTGTTCTCATGTTTGTCTGAGTGTTCACTATCATAAGCTTCTTAACTAAATGAGGGTTAGCTCATAGACCACCCCTATTAGAAGGTCCTAACCACCATACATGGAGACCTAGGATGCATGCTTTTCTTAAGTCCATTGATGAAAGAGTTTGGTCCATGGTTGTGAATGGCTGGACAACCTCGGTTATTATTGAAAATGAAGTGTCTAGACTAAAACCCATTGTTGATTGGACCACCCTGGGTTAACTCTTGCAAATGATAACTCTAAAGCCATTCATGCTTTTTTCAATGTCGTTAATGTGAACCAAATGAAAGTCATAGCCAACTCTTTCATTAGACACATCACAAGTAAAAAATGAAGGCACTAGTGCTATTAAACAAAATAGACTTAGAAGACTTGTGACTGATTTTGAAAATTTGAATATGCATGTTATGGTAGAATTTGTGATGTGTCTAATGAATGTTTTGCTTTGAGAAAAAATTATTCTAACGTTGAACTTGTCAGGAAAGTTCTTTGCTATCTTCCCAAGAGATTCATGTCAAAAGTGACCACCATAGAAGAATTCCATGATGTGCACTCTATGGACATTGATTAATTCTTTACTCACAAAGAATTTTGCAAAGTTTTTGAAGAAAAACATGAAAAAGCCTTTTGAGAGTGGAAATGGTAGAAAACCTTTTGTGAAAAAATTTTATTACTAGCAAACCCTGGGTACCAAAAAGATTTTCGAAAGATAAAGAAAAGAAAAAAAGGGTATCAAGTGCTTTGAGTGTGAGGGGTTTGGGCATATACAATTTGAGTGTGCTAACACACTAAAAAAGAAGAAAGGTAAGGCAATGCCTGCCACGTTGAGTGAGAGTGACCAAGATGAAAGTGAGATTGAGGAAGATGAGTCCGGTGATAATGAATAGTCAGTTTGTGATAGGAACTTTGTGGTTCAATTTTCTAAGAACAAATGTCAAGTCTTGAATGGTGAAGGTATCTCCTTACTAGAAGGAAAAAGATCTAATGAGAATATTTGCTCTCTGGTGATTTCCCTCCATATTATTTCATCCTTTCCTCCAAATGATATTGTTGGTGAGGGTGCAAATTGAGTGCTAAGCATTTTTTGACAAAATTACAATTTCGTCCCCTAAAATGACAATTCTAGGACAAAAATGAATTCATCCCTAAATTAAACATTTGTTGTAGTTCCAAATTTCATACCTAAAAATGTATTTTTAACAATCTATAACAAAATAATATTTCGTCCCTAATAAGTTTTCCAAATTTTGTACAATTAGAGACAAAAAAAATTCGTCCCAAAAGAAAAAGGTTTTTAGCTACAAAATTGTTCATCCAAAAATAATAAATTTCGTCCCTAAAAATGTATTTTTACATTTGAGGACAAAATCATATTTCGTCCCTAATAAGTTTTCCAAATTTTATACAATTAGAGACAAAAAATTTCGTCCCAAAAAATTAAGGGTTTTAGCTACAAAATGCTTCGTCTAGAAATAATAATTTTCGTCACATAATGATTTCCCTCCATATTATTTCATCCTTCCCTCCAAATGGCATTGTTGGCGCGGGGGGAAAATTGAGTGCAAAGCATTTTGTGACGAAATTATAATTTTGTCCCTAAAATGACCATTTTGGGACAAAACTGAATTCGTCCCTAAATATTTTGTCCCTAAATTAAAAGTTTGTTGTAGTGTAACCATGTTTCATGTGTCAACTCTAAAATTGAATGCACTACCTTGTGGTATGAGAAACTTGGTCATATGAATTTCAAGGATTTGGTAAGGCTCTCAAAAAACGATATTGATATAGGGTTACCAAAACTTGAACCTCCCAAAGGTAATGTGTGTGGTTCATGCCAACAAGGTAAACAAACCAAGAACTCTCATAAAGCTTTATCTTATCCCAATACCTCTAATGTGTTGGAGTTACTTCATATGGATCTAATGAGTCTTATGCAAACTGAGAGCTTAAGAGGTAAGAGATATGTGTTTGTTTGTGTTGATGAGTTTTAGATTTGCTTGGGTTGATTTTTTAAAATAGAAATCTAATTCCTTCAATGCTTTTGAAAAACTAGTCAAAAAATTACAAGTTGAGAAGAGTAGCCTGGCTAAAAGGATTGTGAGAACTAGAAGTAATCATGGGAAGGAATTTGAGAGCACTGATTTTTCCAATTTTATGTATGCAGGGTATCTACCATAAATTTTCTACCCCAAAAAAATGATGTGGTGGAAAGAAACAATAGAGTCCTTCCTGAAATGGCTAAGGTGATGTTTAATGCCAAAAAGCTTCCGAAGAGACTTCAGGTTGAAGCCATAAATATAGCATGTCACATTTCCAACAGAGTGTTTCTTAGAAAAGGTACCAATCAAACTCCTTATGAGTTATGGAAAGGTAAGAAACCTGATCTCTCTTTCTTCCATGTCTATGGATGCAAATGTTATGTGTTAAATGATAGAGAGAAATTGGGAAAGTTTGACGCAAGGAGTGATAAGGAGGTATATCTTGGATATTCCTCAAATAGTAGAGCTTTCAAGATCTATAACATGCGTACTGAACGCATTATACAATCTTTTAATGTTGTGTTTATTGATGTGGAAGATTTTTTAGAATATTCACAAGAAGGTGAAATTGGTGAAATATCTGCTCCGAGTGTGCCCATAGAAGAAAACGGTGTGAACACACCTGAGCCGTAAGAACCAAAAAATTCCACGAGTGTGCCCACATCTTCTTATGCTAAAGCAATTGGACATCATCTTGCCGATGAAGTTGTTTCTGGTTCTTCATTACATAATAATGGGATTGAGCTTACTGTAGATTTAACTAAGGAGATTGCACAGAGAAATATTTCAAGAAGGAAAGATCCAAATGAGGTAATGGTTACTTGAAGGAGAAGACAAAGTGAGATTAACCATCTTTGTTATGTGTACCTTGCAGAGCCAAAGAACGCCAAACAAGCTCTTGAGAATGATTGCTGGATGGATGTCATGCATGAAGAGCTTGAGTAATTTGAAAGGAATGATGTGTGGACTCTTGTGTCAATGCCAGAAGGAATCAACATCATCGGAACCAAATGGATTTTCAAGAACAAAACCGATGAATTTGGTAATGTTGTAAGGAACGAAGTCAGGCTTGTGGCTTAGGGATACACTCAAGTGGAAGGGATAGACTTCGATGAAACATTTGCTCTTATAGCCAGACTTGAGTCAATCTATTTGCTTATGGCTATTGCTTGCTGCCTAAAGATCAAGTTGTTTCAAATGGACGTAAAAAGTGCTTTCTTGAATGGGTTGTTGTCAGAAGAAGTTTATGTGGAACAACTTGTAACGCCCCACATGAGGTACGTTGTCATTGTTTCCTCTTCCGCTCTTATTTGAAATTGGTTTTGGTAATATCGTTTGATTGAATGTGGTGTTGAATGTTTGCCCTGAAATTGGTTGAGAATAGAAGAAGTTTAGTGTACCAAGCTTCGCCGGGGCGAAGAAGAATCTTCACCGCGGCGAAGATGTGTTAAGACCACCGGAAACTCTCTGGACAGTTTCGCCGCGGCGACGGGCCGATTAGAATGTTTGTTGAGTTTTAGATATTTTCTTCCCTAAGGGCAATTTGACTATTCTACCCCTAATTAGCAGGAAAAGTGGGGAGTTAATTGTAAGGATTTTTCTTGGAGAATATGTTGATATGGGGGTGAGTTTGTAATGAATCAAAGGATATGGATGGAATTTCCAAAGAAGAGTAAGGGCAAAATGGGAATGATTGTGTTTATATTTCATTAAAAGGAATTAGAATTAACAAACCCCTCATTTCTTCTTCTCAAACGCAACTCTCCATCTTTACTCCTCGCACTCGCTTTTTTCTTGATCAAGGATTTCCAAGGGGTTTTTAAAGTGATTTGGGGTAGAAAAAGCAACCTAAGGCTTCCTAAGGTAAGGTTTCACTTAAGTTGTGTGATTTGGGAGTTTTACCTATATTGAAGTTTGAGGGTTTTTATTCTTTTGGTTAAGAGTAGAGGAAAAGTCAGCAAACAAGTGAAAGGAAGAATTTGTGAAGTCTCTCCATAACAAAGTAAGTAAACCCCACCCAAGTTGAGATTTAAAATTCTCTTGATTAGGGTTTTGATAGAAATGATGTATGTATGTGATGTACATGTAATATGCCATGTGTGAAGGCTTAAATGAGATTTCTATGCTTTTGATGTTTACACCTTGCAAATGAGAATGAATTGTGTGGGTTGCAAGGTAGTTGAGATGGATTGAAGGGGTGTTTGGAACCTTTTTGGAAGTGTTTTGCTTGACAGTTTTTATGGCTTTGTGAAGGGTTTTTCCCCATTTTGGTGGTTAGGAAAAGTTTTAGAATCATGGCTATAATAGAGTTTATAGTGCACATGATTGTTTGATGAAATGCCTAATAGAGGTTTGAGTGTGAGTAGTGAACCTTAATTCTTGCAACATTGCATGTTGGCATTTCATAAGTGCATTAGTGGAGATGAACCATCCATAGGCACTAATGGTGCATTGAAAAGTGACCTAAGAAAGGTAGGAAACTTGTGTATGCAATTACCCTATGAGTAGAGAGCTTGGTGGATGCAATTACTCTAAGGGTAGAGAGCATTGAAAAATGCTACAATAGAATGAATTAGAAGAGTAGTATAGTTGGGATGATGCTTTGTGATCATCACCCGACCGTTATGGGAATCGGATTGATGCTTTGTGATCATCATCCGAATAGCCCTTAGAGATGGGTCGATGCTTTGTGATCGTCACCCAATGGTAATAGAAATGGGTAGATCTTTGTGACCATTACCCGGTTAGTTGTTAGATAAGTGGGTTGATGCTTTGTGATCATCATCCAACATTAGTAGAAGCGGGTTGATGCTTTGTGATCTCACCCGACAGTGACTAGAGATGGTTAATGCTTGATGATCGTTACCCAAGAGTCATGAGAACGGGTAGGTGCTAGGTGATCCCACTCGATAGTTAGGAAAACCGAGTAAGTGCTTTGTGATCCCCACTCGGTAGTCACTAAGAACGGGTTGGTACTGTGTGAATTCCACCCGATAATCATGGAGAGGAGATGGTGCTGTGTGAACGCCATCCGGTCGTACCTCCGGTAAGATGAGGCCATGATGTTTAGTAGAAACAGATATAGAAACAGAAATAGTAAAAGGAAAGAATTACGTGTGATACATACGGGGACAGACAGATAGAGGGTTTTACTTACTGAGCATTATTTGTGCTCACCCCGTTATTTTCCTTTGTGGATGCAGGATCTAGGTGTTGATGCAGTCAGAGGGGTGTCGACAAGCGAGGAGTAATAGCTACACTGTTTCCCCTTGTTTGTCTTTTAAAATGCATTTTTTAAACAGTACTCTTTGTGTATAAAGACATATGAATGAATGAAAGAAAACTTTGGCCAATTTTACATTGTTTATGCATGCATTGTACTAGTTTTCAGTGAGATGTTACACAACTGGTTGGATTTCAAGATCCACACAAGCCAGATCACGTGTACAGATTGAAGAAGGCTCTTTATGGTTAAACAAGCCCCTCAAGCCTGGTATGAGAGATTAACAACCTTTCTTCTTGAGCACAATTACAAGAGATGTAATGCGGATAAAACTTTGTTTGTCAAGTATGTCTGGTCAAATTTTATGCGCACAAATCTTTGTTGATGATATTATGTTTGTCTCAACTTCTCACACACATTCCATGATTCATTTATTTGATGAAAATGAATTTGAAATGAGCATGGTAGGTGAGTTAAATATGTTTTTAAGTCTTCAGATCAAATAATTAGAAAATGACAGTGTTTGTGTCTCAATCTAAGTATGCTAGAAACATATTGAGATGTTTAGTTTAGAAAGTGCAAAACATGCTAGAACACCCATAGTTCTACCCTTAAGTTGTCCAAAGATGAACATGGTAAGAAGTAGACAATAAATTGTATCGAAGCATGATTGAAAGCCTCTTATATTTAACTGCACGTAGACTTGATTTGTGCTTCAGTGTTGGCATATGTTTCAGGTTTCAGCTAATCCAATTGAATTGCATCTGACTGCAGTAAAAAATTAGGAAATATGTTTCAGGTACAGTGAATTTGGTTTATGGTATTCATATGATTCTAACAGTTTGTTGCTTGGGTATAGTGATGCTGATTCGGTAGAGAGTTTGGATGATCAAAAGAACACTTCGAGAGGCTGTTTCTACCTTAGAAACACCTTTTCACATGGTATAGCAAGAAACAAAATTCTATATCTCTATCCACTATCGAGGTTGAGTATATGCCGTAGGGAATTGTTGCACATAGGTTTGTGGTTAAAGCAATGTTATGTGATTATGGTATTGACCAAGAATGTGTGACTGTGTTGTGTGATAACACTAATGCCATTAGCATCTCTAAGAACCATGTGCAACACCTAGGACTAAGCACATTGACATAAGACATCACTTCACTAAAGAGTTAGCTGAAGAAAAATCACTCAAGTACACATGTGAGCACAAATCCCAATTGGCAGATTTATTTACAAAAGCACTTAACTGTGATACTTTTGGTTACTTGAGGAGTTCATTGGACTACTTCAACTTGAATAGTTGTTTTTTGTTTGTTGAATAAATCATGAAGGACTTTCCTTTCTTATATTTTGTCAAGATTGTTTATCTGTGCTAGCACTTAGTTATTTGTTTCTCTCTTGCATATGTGCTAATTCTTTTGGGATGTGTCCACACTTTTTGACTCTTGTTGTAGCATGACCTTGTCTTATCTTGAGCTGTTTGTTTTATGCTTGTCACATTGTGAAAAAGCTACTTTGCTTATAGTGTGAAAATCATTTTTGAATAATTTTCTGAAATATGAGACCCTATGCTTTGGAAAATCTACCATTAAGAATGATACCTTCTTGCAAGTGTGAAAGCTACACTTGTTATTTTTTTAGAGTTATTTTCCCTTTGTGTAAAAAAGAAAATGAAAAAGAAAAGACAAATCATAGGTCTTGAATGTCTAAAAGAAAATACATTGTTCCTTTTTTTTTTTTTTTTGGTTGGGGGGGGTGGGGGTGGGGGTGGTTTTGGGGCTCAAGCGAGTTCTCCTTGTAAAAGTCTTGCTTGACCAATCCCTCTTGAGGACACTATCACATACGTTAGATGAGCTTTTATGACTATCATTCTCTTGATTTTGATTAAGGAAGTGTTATTTCAATTGTTAAAATTGTTTGGATTATTCCTTGTGATTTGTGTAAATTTCAAGATTGAGAAATGGATACATAGTTTTTCTATGTAGATATTGATATTTCTTGGTCTTTTAAAATCAAGTGAAACTTCTCATGGATTTGTCTTTTTAAATTTTTTTTCTTTTAATAGAGTCTACTGCTTTTGGGTATGTGCTGTCAAATTGGCAAATTGTGCAAACGTTCTTTTAAATGACTTGTAATCTTCTTGCTCTAATCTCTCTTGTTTTATCAGTTTTTTTTTTTTTTTTGGATACTCAAAAATCGTTCTTGGCTGACAAGCATAAGAAGTTTGTGGCAACGGAGAGGGCTATCCATCGTCAACAATCGCAAGTAGAGGACCCAAAACCCACATACCCTGCTTCTGATGTGTTCTTGTGAAAAGATTCTTCATCTTCATCATTCTCTACTGGATCTAACAGTCCTCCAATCAGGTCGCTGAATTCACAAAAGAAATCTCTTGCAAAATCTAAACTCGCAATGTCTCAAACTCAATCCTCCAAAGCAAAGAAGAAAGGAAAATCAATAGAGAAATCCTCCTCACTTGGTAAAGCTTCTACCTTTATCTCTCTTGAGGCTGAAAAATGCTATAAGGAGCACATTGTTTGTAGGACACTTGTTTGTGAGTCAAATGTGAAGTTGAGTGATTTTCCTAAGATTTCAAAGATTCTTAATAAAAGAAAATGGGTAAAATTAGTTAGTGATCTTGTTGTCCTCATTCAAACTCTTGTTCAAGAGTTTTATGCCAATTTTGGCAATAACATTGATAAACCTGGTGAACATTACAATCAAGTATTTGTTCGGGAAATATCGGTAGATTTCAATGTTGATGTGATTAGGAATATACTTGATATGCCTGCTGTTGAGAATCCTGACAAGTTGGATTTTCTTGATATGGATGTTGTAGTCAAAGTGTTGTCTGGTGGGTCTATTACAAAATGGCCTAGATGTGGTTATGTACAACCTAGTGTGCTTTCTCCTCTCTACAAGGGTTTGTTCAAAATTTCCTTGTCAAATTGGTCTTCATCCATGCATAGCTCAACTGTTAGGGTAGATAGAGCACAACTCATTCATGGAATATGGACTGGTAAGAAGATCGACCTTGCGTTCTTAATGTACTCCTACATTAGAGTAGCCGCAGAGACTATGAATACAATTCAAATGTTACCATTTCCCTCCCTTATATCCATAGGATCATAGCTCCCCATAATCCAAAGCGTCATGAAGTGGAGCCTTGCTTGAAGCTTAAAACGATCACTTGAGGATCGTTTAGACAACCTCCAAAGGATGTTCCTTCGTCATCCATTGTTGATTCTTTAAAACCTAACACTTGGCAATCTAAGTTATTAATTTGACGAGATGAAGGTTTTGGAGAAGACTATGGGACATGTGTGCCAATAGATGCTCTAGCACATGAAGGAGATTAGGGGTGATCAGTTCCAAGTACCCTATATTTTTTGAACCGGAACCGACAGCTCCTAAAATTTGGAACCGGAATTAGAACTGATGGTTTTAGTTCTTAGGTACCCATAACCTAATCCTTTACCAACGGTTCCGATTCCGGGTATCCTAAAAAATTACATTTACCCCCCAAAAGTTTATAAAATGACCAAAAAACCCTTAAAACTTACAAATACATTCTCACTTGGTACTCGTTAATAAAAATAAAATAAAATTATGTATGTATTGTCACCCCCATAAATATTGTTAATTAATAATAATATGATTAGATTTGGAAAACAATGAAACGTGGGATACATTAATTAACCTAATTAAATAAATTATATTTAACCATGTCATTAATCAAATTGGATGTATACTAATCAACCAATTAATTAGTTGCCCACTCTGACGATATGATGTTTTGTTTCACATCAAACAAAGTAAATATTTCATGTATGATTCAAGAATCAAGATCTTCGAGGCCCAAAATTATTTGTGATTTAAATAAAAATAAATGTATTTTGAAGTTGAACGTCCATGATTGGAAGAGTATTAACTAACAAGAAAGAATGGTGGCCATGCGATGAAACAGTGACTGATTAGGCATGTGTCTGTGTGCGTGATACTGATATGTGTATTGCTTGACTGCGTGTTTTTCGAGACAATTTCCAATTAATTTAATCCTAGGTGTAACTGTCAATCATGAAACATCCATCAAATTTCCAATCATTGAGGCTTAGTTGTGGATGGAGGCATTTCTAGAATGTGCCCAGTTACACCATAATTTATGTTACGTCACAGATGGTGGTGCATGTGGTCTTTTAACTTGAGATCACCAGAGCGCCGTGTAAATATCATATGATTTGACACTACCTTAACATTATCTCTTTTAGGGATTACCAGAATGATAGTGATTGGTTACATCAAGAAATACACTATGACTATGGTGGATCAATAAAGGATTCAACAATCTTGGTTACAGGAGATCTTATCTCAGCGAAATATTTGGTTAAAGAACTACACCCTCAAATCTGTGGTCATGGTGGAATCTAATTAGTGCTCGAATCCAATTTTATAGTTTTCAAATTCAAGAACCAAATATAGAACATGTCAAGGTAGCTTTTGAGGTAGACACTATTTTTGTACCTCAAACCTTGATAAGATAAAAGATGATGAATTGGATCAAATTGCACAGTAACCATACCGTAGACAAGGTAAGCCTAAATCGCTGATTCTTTATTTACCTTGAGTCATGATGCCTTACTAGAGACCAATCTTGATTGGTGTACGAAAACACTAACTGCTTAATGCTTAATTAGTTATCGGGACGCTGCTGGCAAAGTGACCTTCAGGTCACACACATATGAGGTAGTTAGGTGAGAAATGGAAATGGAAGGACCAATCTTGTCCTTGGGCCGAAGAGGGTGTTTCGGTAATTTGGGAATCCATGTGCATTTTCGACATTATGGGCGAAAAGGGCACTTTGGTAATTTTTCTAAGGGGTTGATGCCATTATCCAATTTATTAGGAGAAGTTTTTAGAAAATTGGAATCATATTACTTTTAATTAATAGAGAGAATATATATTTAATTTAATTTAATATATATTAAAACCCATATATTAAATACGATAAATATATATGATTAAATAAATAGTAATATTTATTTAATTAGAATATGAATTTATATAGGAATTAAATAAATAGGAATATTTATTTAATTAGGATTCATATTTAAGGAGAATATATTTAAGAGATATTCTAATCTCTCATATCAAGGATTGCAATCCAATTCAAATAGGAATTAAAAGGATTGTAATCCAATCCAAATAGGAATTAGGGATTTACAATCCTTATTGGACTCTTATTTGGGATTTACAATCCTTATTGGATTCTTATTTGGGATTTCCTATATAAAGGGTCATTGGGTTTTGATTTAATAGAGCAATTCCCATAAAGTTAATTTTGCAAATTGAATAGCAAAATTAACTCTCCCATTCACGCCAAACCCTAGCCACCTTGTGAGTTTTTCTCACACAAATTTCTGCCACCTTCACTTAAGCCCTCCAATTGATCTAGTAGTCAATCCAAGGGTGATCTCGTGTCTGCCTTCATCTAGATACCGACAAACTCAATCCTACGTTGGATTGATAGTGATTACTTGGAAAGATCTAGAGGAGGAGCCGCCAACGGAGGTAAATCACATAACCTTGTATGTTTTTATATGTTGATTATTCAATTTGAATCATGATCTTGGGTTAGGGAATCATGCCATGGCAAAGAAAATTTTTGTTGTTATTACGCGCTTGCCACGACATGGTTCCTACGCAATGGTCCTTACTCATAAATCAGCTCATTACTAAGGTTTCATTCAAACCTATGAACAAAGAGGGGGAGTAGAGTTGAGGGGGAGTGGAGTGTAGCTGTTGTGTTTTTGATGATATCTTTTGTTGCATATTTGAACTTATTTGGGATGTTTATTTTTCTTGGTTCATATGAACTATTTAACTTTGATGCTTTTTTGTTGAGGGGGAGTGTATCCTTTTGTTGTCGTAGTTAACTCTCTTAAGGGGAGTTTGTTTGTTTTTGTTGAACTCTTTGCAGTTTTCAGTTTCATATTTGCCTTATATGTTTTGTGTTACTTTTTGTTTAATTTGTGTGTTCAACACTCATTATTGTTTTGTTTATTTCTTGCCTCTATTTATATGATGTTGTTTGTTTTTGTAAGACAAGTTTGTATTTATCCTATGATCAATTTGTTGCTTTGTTCATAAGTTTGACAAAGGGAGAGATTATTGAATATTTTGTCAAACTTATGTTGTGTGTTTGCACAATTATGTGTAACTAATGCTTTTTGCAATTTCATTATGAGTGTGTGCATAGATGATGTGTTCTTGCACACGTATGTCACACGTATGTCACACATATGCATGTTGGAATTTATTTCGCATTTTATCGCGATTATGTGCACACTTTCTTTCTGGACTAACATCTGCATGTCTGATTCATTTTGCGCAAGTTTCATATTTACATTTTATGCTGAGATACTTTTTTGTTATCTGATATGGTGGTGTGAAGACCACTTATAGGTGTCCCAAATATTCAGAACTGGTCCTGAAAAACTAGTATTTCCTTTTTTGGCTGTGATCCCAAAAGTTTGGTGGAATCTTTTTCCTCTTTTAGACCAACACATATCAGCCCTTGTCTACTAAGTTGGCATGAATTGTTGCACAAGAAAATCTTCTTTATTATCTTCATTCTTGTGCAATTTTGAGCTAACCAGAATATCCATTTTGTTGGTGCTCTAAACTTTTCAGAGAGTTGTTTCTTGGTCAGGTTCATTTTTATGGGTTTGTGCTAAAACAATTTTATTTATCTTCTTTGTTGAATGGCAACTGTAACGAGGTTCGATTGTTGATGTTGGAGCGTGTCTCCAGCATGTAAAGCTTGGGAGGAGCTCAAGCCTGTTCAGGAGTGTTCCTAGTGTGTGAAGCAATCCAAGAGTGACGAAGCATTAGGGAATGAGAGGGTGATGTTTAGTGTATCGTAGAACAAAGAGTCCACTTTGCTCTAAAATCAACTCTGAATGTTTATTCTTGTAATGTTTGATGTTATAGTGGATTAGCTTCGATCTGGACGAGGTCCCATGGATGTAGGCTAAGACTAGTTTTAGTCGAACCACGTATATACTTGTGTTCTTTATGTTTTCCTACTTATGGTTGTTGATTCACACTTAACTTGATAATGTTTAATCAACATATATGGTAAAAACATTTCCACTATGTTATTAAAAATGGGTACCTAAACATTTACTAGAGTTCGTTAACTCTAACAGGAAAGAATCTCAAAGAGAAAAGAAAATAATCTCAAGGAAAAAAAGAAAAATGATCTCTTCCAATATTCTTTGATCATATTAGTTTTCACTAATTAATTGGAGGCTTGATTCCTACACCTTATTCTATAACTATTTGTCTTTGGTTTTCTTTGGTTGCTATTAGTGGAGCAAGGCTACAACGAGACGGTCAGACAACTCAAGGCTCGTGGTCCAAGTAAGGAAAGGAAGACACTGAATGATATACATCCGACCCATTTTCAATTGGATTTCTGTGTTTACTCTTCAATTGTAACCTGAGTTATATGCCTATAATTTTTTATTGTAATAATTCCAAAAGACCACTATGGAGGAATATTTTTTATTACAATTATATCTTCACTTAAAGTAGAATACAAGGGTTTAAGAAGAAATTGGTGGGGGCTAAAAATTATTTATCAATATATATGTTTCAACCTTTAATTAAGAGATGTAGACAAAATAACACGATATAATACTGACCATTGAAACTGAGACAACACATTAACATCAACAGAGCCAATTTTAATATCGTTAGCTGTTGCCTTGAAAATGAAATTATTGTTTTAACAATGAGCACCATGCATAACTAGTTTAGGTTTGAATTAAAGCAGCATATAGAAGCTGGTTCCAAGTATCAGGAACACCGGCCAAGCACCAGTGGCTGCAGTCAGGAACTTTGTGGCCGCCGATGCCATAGTAGGAAGGATGACCATCTTTTCTTAACTGTGATAATCTTGTCACGTTCAGCAAATACACCGGATTTCTCATTCTTCTTATCACTTTCTCCACTACTATCTCTGCTTTATGTTCACCTCCTGGATACTTTGACCCCATTACTGGTTTTGTTTGTTTCTCACAACTTGCACTTGATTCCCCCCAATCAACTCCACTGTTACGTTTCATTAAAAATTAATAATATAATTAATATCCGTTGTTAACTTATAATTAAGTTAAATTCTCTAATAATTGTTTATTTTTGTTGATAATTAGTGTTTTTGAAAAAAGTATTATAAACCCTTCTAGTTTAGTCATCAATATTACCCCAAGAAAAGCAACAAAATCCCCTCTAATAAGAAGGTTGGCCAAATCGTTCTTGTCACATGTGAATAATGAAAATTTGCTTTTATATATATAGTTATTCTCTAATGTGGACGTCCTAAATTTTTGAATATGTGAGCCGAAGGTGAGTGTCCAGTTGTTCCCTTCAAAAGATTTATAATCAAGATGCTTACCTTGGATGTGCATATTAAAAAATTTCAAGACATCCTCATTATATATATATATATATTATCATAAAGTACTTTTAAGGTTTGCCTTTTTATCACGTGAAGAATAACTTTGCCAATTTTTATCAAGGATACCACTTACAGTTTTAAAAGTATATCACTGACACCCCTTTGTCCTCAATCCATCAAATTGACATTATAATTAAATAGGTAAAGTATTATAATACTTCTTAATATGTTATTCCACAAGTGTCCAATTAAATATATTTTTTAAAATTACAAAAGAGAATTAAAAATTAAAATAAAAGATAAAAAAATGGAGTTAGGGCAAAGAAATTTCAACGATATGGTTTTAAAATTGTAAGGGGAAGTATGATAAAACTTGACAAAATTACACGTAAATATGATAAAACTTTACAAAGTTACCATGAGAATGAAATGCTTTTAAAACTATAAGGGATATCTTTGATAAAAATTGGCAAAATTGTTCTCTACATGATAAAAACGCAAATTTTTATTTACTTGGTACGATCAGGGGTTTATAATAATATCCCATATATATGTAAATTACTTTTAAGGACAATTTACTTACTTGGTATGATCAGGGGAAACCCCTTGAAAGAAGACCTTGGTTTTGGTTTGATCGACATTTGTGTCAACCCAATTAGCCCAAGTGTTCAACGCTTTCTCAAAGGCTACTAAGCGATCCATGTCTTTGATTGTTTCACTTCCATCTTCAATCAAATCCCATCTGCAATTAATTAATGATTAGTTAGGTTAATTAAGAATTAATGAAGATTAATTAATTACTTACGGTTGTTTCCTTCCGGTGTGAAGCCACCAGTGCCATGTGTTGAAGATCAAGACATCGATTTGCCTCCACTGCTTCCCACTTTGAATGGAGTTAAGTTTTAGAATTCGCCCTGTCTTTGTGTTTACAATATCAACCAGAAATGCGTTGCGAGAGAACATCACTTTAGTCTTGAACGTCTGCATGCAAAAAGTCTTTAGAGAATATAACATTATAACTACGAATCCGTTTAATGCATTAATGTTAAAATACTTACAAAATCATGTTGATTTTCAGAAAAATTCTAGTTCTATAGTGAAGCTAACTATAATCACCACTGGAAAATTGGTGTTTTCCGAGACAGAAAATGGGTCCAAAAACAAGATTCATGTAAAAGAGAGCAATTATATAATGAAGGGGAGGGGAGAATCTCACTGGGAATGTGAAAGTGGAGAGGCCTCCAGTTCTATGTGATTGATAGATAGCGTGTGGCACAGCTTTATGAAGCAAGCATGTGAGTGATTGCCACTGATTTAAACTCAGTGAATCTCCTACAAACATTATGCTTTTCCCTTCAAGCCTCGATAAGAAATCTTGACCATCGAACCTACATCAATCAAGTTTGATTCATATTGTGGATGTGATAAGATTATTCAATATTATTTCTTAAAATGAATTTGGGACAAGATAACATATAAACATAAATTATACTATATAATCAGATACGATAATTTAACATATTTTGATATAGTTACATAACTCCCCCCACATCTACGGATAAGAGAGTAACAAAATAAATTCAATGTGCAGTGTTTAACAAATCTTTTTACATCATATATCATGTTCGACTCATATTTTCTCTTACAGCATTGAATTGGCTAATCACCCCACTATTTATAAGTAATACATGAGAAAATTATTCCTAATAAAATTCATATTTCCTTATAACAATTATATTCCTTTTTAAATAATTTAATAAAAAAAAGAATTATTAATAAATCATGATAATCAATGATTTAACTAAAGAAAAAATGGAACATATCTCTATTTTGAGGACAAAAATGAGTGAAAGCAACTTAACAATATGTAAAGTCTGTTTAGTGTGCAGAAAATCTAGTAACCTAGAGTTGCACAGAAATACTGAAAAATTGAAAGATAGAAAAATGATGATGATGCTTCTATATTGATTTTTCAAGTTCAAGAAACATCCTTTTATACTACAATCTATTGATCAATATGAAAGATGATCTCAGCCATTAGTTCATCTTTTAAGAATCACAGAAAAACAGAGGAGACTTGACTTCCGTTGGACTTGCAGGGAGTGAGAGCAACTTGTTCAGCAATTTGATCATCTTGCTTAACTACTTGTTTAGCAACTTCATCAACTTGCTTAGCAACTTGATTTGGGCGGGAAACATAACTGAAAAATAACAACTTCAGCTAACCAAAATAACAGTCCTGACTCCAGCGCATTTATTTGTTGTTTGAGTTCAGCTTGTATTCTCAATACAACAAAATTAATGTTTGGTTAAGCAATAATCAAGATTGGATGGATGTGAGAAGGTAGCTGTGTAATGGACCCATTGTTGAATGCCTGAATTCCTTGATTTATATAAGTCAATAAACTCATCCCAAAAAATAAAATTAAAAGTTTTTATGACAACCACATGCACATATTCTAGCTTAACAAACAAACAAACAAATAATACTTAGAATCAAACAAATATAATTTATGAACATTGTCATCATTTTCAAGTAGGAAAAGGATCACCATCCATCACATTTTGTCTTGAATTATCTTATCAACTAAGCTACCTCACAAATAATATTAGCTAACAACCCATAAACCTCCATCTATCTACCTGCTCAACCCCTATAAATTATGTTTTAGATTAATAAGTTTCAAGATAAGAGTTTCACTTTTTTAATAGTAAATTCTAGTGTATTTGACTTTTATGTAATGAGTATTCGTTAGTTTGAAAATGCAATTTTAACTCCTGTGTGTTTGGTCTTTTCTGTAGTGAGCACCTATCGATTTTAGAAATGTCATCAATTTCATCTTTAAATTTATCAATTCATTAATTGCATTTTTAAAAACATATATTAAATTTTCAACATTATTGACAGAATTTAGGTGTTAAATTGATTGAATTTGAATGAATTGTGAAAACGTCATTTTCTTCTAACTTAAATAGAACAACCTTAAAAAAAGGGACGTTAGGGTCACATTTTTTAAAACAGAAAGTATTCACTATAAAAAAAGGCCAAACACACGAGCGGAGGACACATTTCTAAAACTAGACAAATGTTCACTATAAAAAGGACGAACACACTAGGCTTTACCACATGGAATTGGATAGATGATTTGAAATATGAGTGATTTAAGATTAGAACTATCCATATTTATATATTTACTATCTTTTACTGTTAATGATTGATAAGTTTCTCCCAAACTTGTATAACTTACTGTTCGATCAAGGTATCAGTCTAAGAAACTATTATATATTTATAATGGGAATATTTTATTCTATATTTCTGTTAGTTTGTTAGTGATCTGACAACTTGAAGTTGAGTAAAGAAAAAACTTTCATATATTATGAATAAACAATATATTAATTAATGTTAATTGCAATTAATTATTGCCATTAATGATTAGAAGTCCTAACAAATGGTCAATTAAGTTGAGCTCCAACAATTTCATTTGTTAAAACATACCAACGAATAAATTAAAGGCAACTAACCCTTACAGGATTTTCTAATTAGAAATATTATTTCATTCATATAAAATATAATTTGTTATCAAGGATAACATATGTATGAATAAATGTTAATTAATTTTTATTGTTTGCAAGTGTATTATATTTTATTACCAATAATATTCCATACATGATGGATTCACAAAGAATTTTAATTTATAAGATTGGGGAGAGGAGATAGAAAAGTGCCTAAATTTAATAGAATAATTTGAGGATGAAATCGAAATCCCTTTAATTAATGACAAAACTTCTATTGTTGATTCTGCATCAAGATGAGATAGACAACTTAACCATCTCTGATTGTCCCACCTGATGATTGTCATATTTTCTATTATGGATAGTTAATTAACGACGACTACCATTAATATTTGTAAATAATGACAAACTTTCTTCATTAGTGCATGCACTTCTTATACAATTATATAGAGTTTTCTTTTATACAAATATGCAAAATTATATATATATATATATATATATATATATTTAGCATATATATATATATATAGATATATATAGATATATATATATATCTTATCATCAAGACTTTAAATTTAACGTTTTAATTATATTATAGTTGAGATGTATTTAAATTAAAATGGCATAGTATAATTGTAGTGAACCCTAAATTTCTTCACCTTATCCTGTTCGCGCTTTATGTTCTCTCTGATCACACAATCTTTTTTTTTTTTTTTTTGGTTGATAAACCAACAATTGTCTCTCTCAGGACTCAAGACAAGACTCCTTAGTATAGTAACTCCAATGGCTAAATGTTTTTGATTAACTCACCTACTATGCAATTGAAATTTTCTTGTTCAAAGTAATTAAATCAAAATTTCTTGTTTGAAGAGAATTTTGATTTAGGTGAGAGAGAAAGGCAATTATGCATGAGAGGCCTGCATGCCGAAAGAGCTGGCTTTTAAACAAATTAATTGTCTTATTATTTGTCTCTACCTAGAGAGTATCGTCTCTTTCAATTTCATGAAATCTAACAAATTAAGAGGCCATAGCCAACTTATAAAATTAATCAAGTAAATAAAAAAAAAAAGGGAGGTTACTTGATAAGTTGCAAGAAGTTGGTGCCATCTATATTTGAGATAGCCTTTGTCAGGTCTTCCATTCTTCGACAATCAATTCTTTCTCTATGAATGGACAATCTCTTTCTGTGTTGTAAGAGGGATATGATTCATCTTCACCCACCTCCCTGAGAAAATATCGCATATGCTGCTTCCAATTCCAATCTTTTCAGCTGTTCGTCAGCTTTATTAATATGAACGTACGGCTCTCCCTCTCCATGAATTTCCTTAAGAGAAGAGAAAGCACCAGAACGAGGATTGCATTTGCAGCAGCCAAGGAACCATAGAGATAGAGGATGAGATAGCTATGAAACTCAAGTAATAGAGGGAGGATATCTTTAATTATATAGAGTGACGGCTCATGAATTCAACTTAGTGTGTGTGTGTTTAAGGAGAGAAAGATTAATACACCCTAGCTTTTCGTCAATAATCAAAGTCTGACCTGTTCAAATACTAGGAAATAACCCCCTTAAACTAAAACACATGAATAAAATCTTAACTTTGAAACAACATTTTATGCAGCAACGAAAGAATTAGAGTGATTTTACCGTTTTTTCCCTTACGTGTACAGGGGAATTATTTGTTCAACCCTTACATGGATTAATGTCTATTAGAATCAAGGGAGTCTATCCTAGTAGTTCAAGCTACACGATCGGGGATACTAGACCAACCCCAGGGGTTTAAATGTAATATTTGTGTGACGGAGATTAACTACCCCATGGGAGAATATAAGACTACCTTAAGGTTTCCGAATTTATCATTTGGAAGACAATTTCACTTTTTTTATCAAATGGACTCTTAAAGTTTGAAAATTGTATCATGGATACCTCTTTGCCTTAACTCTATTATGTTATTGTTTGTCATTGATGAGTGAAATGATACTTTGGTCTTTAAGAAAGCGTGGAGGTAAATAATAATTTTTTTACGTATAGAAGTGTGTTGTAAACATAACAATAATATAACAGAGTTATGATAAAGACGTACTGTCAAAAATTTTAAATTAGAGGTCTATTAGGCAAAGGGGTATTGTGATTACACTTTTCAAACTATGATATGAGGGTGCATTTAGAAGTGCAAAAGTTGTCATCAGTGTGTAAATTTGAAAACCTTGGGTACTTTGTATTCTTCCATTAATTAATAGGTAAGTCAATAATGTGATATTCCGCATGCTCTTGAATGTAATAAGAATATTTAGTAATTATTATTAATAAATATAACTTAATTCACAGAAGAAAAAAACGGATGCCACTGAGACAGCTTTAATTTTACTAATTAGAAAAACTTCCTTTCAAGTATAATTTTTCATTATATATTTATATACATATTATTTTACTGGATTTACTTCCATAGGCATATATACTTACCAAAAGATAAAAAGGGAAAAAAAAAAAAGGGCCAACCAATATATATCCGTGCACAATTAATATGAAAATCACTTTATTAAAAAGTGATATATAAAATTGGTTGAACTAGACGAATATTTTATTTGGAATAGTGTAAATATGCAAATGAGTATGATTTAAAAAAATCATAATAATAATAAATGTTAATTACAATATATCCCTATGGTTTAGTCAATACATTAACCTCCTCAGGTTTCAACAAGAATAAACAATTTCTCTCTTGAAGAATTTTATCCTGAGACTTTAACACCAAATACTGATAGATTTAAGCTGTAAGACTAAAATATAATCTCAGTTTATATTTATTTAGAACAATAACTCTTAGTTTATTGGGGTATCTAACACCACGATTTTTTTAAAGTATTGTATACCTCTTTGATTATTATTTACCCTCCTTAAATTATA